AAAGAAAATTCAAAGTAACACGGAAATAATATTTCATTTCTCTTAACCCTAAAGCAGTGAATGATGTATTACATCCTTAGAGGGAAGGCTGGATAGCATAATATTATGTCCAATGCTTAGGTGGGTGGAACTTTGCACGGCCAAGCAGTAACAATTTGTAACTGATCTCTAAAATTTTCATGTACATTGCCTGAGCTTTTGCAACACAATTGTTCTCATACAAGGAAATTCTTCTGAATATTACACATTTCAAATGCTTACCCTGGGGGCATATTGAAGATACTGCTTTCCTGTAGCCATGTGTGAGAGAAAACGGAATCGGTTGTCATGAAGGACATAAACTCCCTGATGATTGGTTCTCAAGTTGTCAATTTGTTTCTTGTATACAGTTACCCATAAATCTTTGCAGATATATTTCATTATGTCTAGTTCATCTTTGTAGCGGCCAGATTCTCGTGTCAACCTGAAATTAAAAGTTGGATAACCTATTTGTAATAAAGCTAATATCAAAGATAAAATCTGTACACAATCTTGGTAATACTATATCCGAATAATACATATTTCAAATAGCATATTTGTATCTGATACAATTGTGGTAGCCTGAGCAATTTAAGATTCACAGAATTCTAGTACTGTGCTTGGGTACAGGAATTTTTTAAAAATCAAAACACGACAGAGAAAACAGATGAATGTGAACTAAGTTGTATACTGATACTATCCATAATAACATGATGAAAAAATCATAATAAAAAAAGTTGAAATTACCAAAACCTAGTACTTCAATTTGTTTTCCAATACTCAATGTTTCTGCACATAGATGGCTCTGCCAAAGCTTAGCCACAAAGGAGTCAATTAGTAGATCTTGCAACCTCACTTTTCCTTGAAAAAGCAGGAAAATGCTTTTTTTCACTAATGCTATCAATATTGACAGTTATTTTTGTTATAAGAATGATAATTACTATATTGTTAGTAACATTACTAACAGCAGTATTAAATACTTTAAAATATTATCGAAAATCACAGAAAAGGGTAAACAGGTGAGACAGTTAGTTCGCAGAATTGGTTCATTGGTGACATGTACTGTATTGGAGCAAATGTCTATATGTTAAAACAAACTGTACTTTAAATTCAACACCCACATTGGGCAATGGTATATACGTACATGCCATGCCTGGGATGCTTATAGGTTAATACCAGTCTACAGGACTAACATAAATTCAGAGGATGATATTATAGTATCATACCCAAATTTTATCGAATTAAAGAACTTGATTATTTGCTTTCTTATATCTACCAGTGCTGTATTAGTCTTATCTCCTTACTAAATCTATAATCATATCCGTATAGTGGCACAAAACCATTGTGCTCAAGCTGTTTGATATGCCTTCATCTGTAGTGGCGTAATAGTGCAAACAGTAAACATATAAGATGACAATTGTTAAATTATAATCAATCATGTACTTTGTAATTTATATGAGATTTCATATATAAAAACATACTGTGTTGGACTGTTCTCTCTTATCTTATGTTACTCACGTTTCTAGTTAAAAACGTATAAATTTCTTTGTTTTTTCGCCATTTCATTACATTTCTCTCAGTATTTCCTATCTTCTAGATTCTCTTCTGAGTCATCATTCCTCCTTTATTTCTACTGCTCCAATAGACTTTTTTTTTATTAGGCTTTATTACCATTATGCTAAGACCCTTTTATCTGGACTACTGCTTCTTGCCTGCCTCTCCGAGTTGATATATCATCCTCATATTTACTGTCCTCATATGGACACTTTTATTAATAAAAAAATTATAATGGACTTCTTTCAGTCATATCATATATATATATATAATAATTATATATATATATATTATATATATATATATATTAATATATATATTTATATGTATCATGTTACTATATATACAATAATGTGATGTGTAATGTGGATGATTTTGGTGATAATTTGTTTTTTAGAGGATTTCACCTGTTAGTGGCATATCCTATTATGTGAGTTAATAGTCTGTCAATGTGGCTATGTTGTAGTCTGAGATTTTGCTATACACGTGCCTCCAGTATTCTATACATTACACATACTATATACATTATACATCCTATATACGATACATATACAGGTTCGCAATGCTGTCCACGGAAGGTAGATCGAAGCGCTTCTCCTCCAAAAGAGACGCTTGTCTATACACATCTATATATTTATATATATTATATAGTTGGTCGTAGGATCTGATCTCGGGCCTCGCGTTATTGTGAACAATGGCTTCTCGAGGACTCGGCTGTGCGTGGAGACGCCAGATATGTTCTAAATATCAGTACATTGTGACAACATTATTCTTTTATTATCGGTACTGAGTATATTTTCCTCAGAATTGATAAGATATTTTTCATTACTTGACTTATGGGTGTATGTATCTTTATATTTAATTATTCATTATCGGTCTATATAGACCCGTCGTATAATGATTAGGAGTGTATTGTAGAGGAGAGCGTCTCCATTAGCGTATCGGTTAATAAGATGAGATAAAATATAGTATGATAATATTCCTATGTTGTTGCGTTTCTTTGTATCGTTAGGATGTGTCGTCCTATACTAACAACAACTGTTCGCTCATAATGAATGTGTGCAGTCTACATCCGGTGGCGTCTTATGGACGCTACAACTCGCCGTGACATGGTGCGACATGTGTCTTGTTGTTTGTTTTTAATGCCCAAATAAGGGTGAATGCTAGCTCCCATGCGTCGAGAGCGTGGATGTAACATGTAGTCTCAATATAGCGCCCGCACAAAGAGAACAATTGTCGCAGCAAGGTTGTGGCTGAACTCATCTCCCAATAGCATGGGTGCTCGGAAGCGAAAATTGTAAAGAGCGATCTGAAAGTGAACTCAGTTGCTTCTATGAATCTTTATACCATGGAATGGTACCGTGGCAAAGAGGATCGTCTGATTGTTAAAAGAACCGGGTATAGAGTGGTGAGTGTCTTTGTGTCTGGTAAATAGAGGAGTGTAGAATGCGCACAGATGCGGAGAAGAGAAAGATGAAGTATATATAATCGGGCAAATCCTTCCGAAAAGAAATGGTGTCATCCTGGAACTCATTTGGTTAGACTTCAAGATCAATACAGTCTGAAGTAAGTTCAAGGATAACATTCTCTTAGTTAAGAGAATGACCTGTGGCGAGCAAAATTGCTTGATGCGAAGCTTCCTTGACGTGTGCTGTGACGGACGAGAGAATGGAATGCGGGCGCAAGCAGACAAAGAGAGATATACATAGAGCGTTGCTGAATGCTCCCGCCTCTTCAATTAGACGGCGTCTTACACATTGAGCTACTCGGAAGAAAATGAAGCAATAGTGTGGCGCAGCTACGTGATACTGAATCATATTCTTTTACGACAAGTGTTAGCGATATCTTGTTCTGAACCATTAACCATGCTAGAAACGTTTGGACGAGGACATGGGATCTGGCGTGGTCGGCGTGAGCTCTCTGCCGGTCTTCCTGCCACAGCGACTTGACTTGAGAGCTCATCCCTGCGAGGCGTGTTCCTCTGTCATATATTGCATGCTCTACTGAGAGAGAGTCTTATCATTCTTCCGGCAACATCGTGAGGCAGGCTAACCCCTACTTTTTGTTTTTTGCGTTTCTGTCGATATTACTGGTCCGAGGAAGTGTGTCGTAAGACGAATATTATAATGCGATTAAACTGAGATTAGTAGTCAAAGTGATGAAAAACATAACTTGTTATATTGAATAACCAGCTAAAATATGACCGTTGAATCATAATAATAATACGAGAATATTAATGAATATTATTGATGAGCGTGGTGTCGGAGTATAAGATTGCATCGTTGATTATGATGACACTACGTAAGATTTGTAGTGAATTATATATGAATGTAGATTGTCTGTTTGTTTCTATATATTGACAACGATCACGATCTAAGAATAAATTGCTGTTGTAATATATAATAAAATCTTCGAATGTGGTTAGTTAGGGCTAATGTACTCTCATTGGGTGATTGTGTGAGCAGTAATGAACATGTGACAGATTACACTATATGATGTCCATAATCTAGAGATACGTTAATGGTATATAGATCAGTAGTTGATAAAATACCTCACTACTTACTTACCTTATTTAGAGCCACAAATACATGTAATCAAACTCACATCATAAAATACATGAGAATCAACTCAAGATAAATAAGATCTATGCTCAATATCATGAATGATTGCGTCCTCAATTTATTCAAAAAGAACGTTGTAGCAGTACAGCTCAGAAAAAAATGCATATTTTATTAAATATCTAGTAGCATGGTGAAAGACATCAGATTGACAAGGTAATAATAGCAAGGAAAAGTAAACATTCACAATATTTGGTGTATTGACAGGTAAGTATATTGTTAGCATGATAGTGGTCATATCATCCTCATATATTTGATTCTTAGCTTGCCTAATCTGTACCCAGTATTTTTAAGGAACGATATTTGCCTTTATTATATCCACTTAATTGAATATCCATATTTTGAAGACTGTGGTAATTATAAAATGAGAAAAATACAATTCTATTATACATCCGATGACTATCAACTCTTACACGCATCAATACACATCTGATACAACAATACACATCACATCCAACTCATCCAATCAACATCCACTCACTACATCGATCTCACCACACAATATCTATCACATCATCACTACTACTCCAATTCAACCATACGATTGATCACTACTACAGCACTCACACTCACACTCACACTTCATCATACATATCAATAGTTCGCAGCACTCATATTGGCGTCATCAATCTACCACACTCTCTCTCTTCACACACTATACTCGTCTCTTCTCACATAGCACTCATCACTCTCTTCTCATCTACTACTACATTACTTCACACAACTCTAATCATCAATAATACATCACTACGTCATTAACATTATCATACTACATATCACTACACACATCTACACACAATCTAATCACTCACTAATCATTGCGCTAAGTCTCGTTCAATATCATGTATGTGCAATTGACATAGTATTACTAAATTGACTATTATTGAATAAAATAATTAATAATAAATAACAGTTTTTCTATATTTATATATATTCAATCATTATTGTTAAATTTATAATGATAATAACAGTAAAATTATTAATATTGTAATGTTAACTGTATGAAAAAAATATTACATAAATGTCAGCGATTTGTGGTCAGAACAGTGATGTGACTGAACTGTATTGTCGCGCGCGCGCGCGCGCGCACACACACACACACAACACACACCACACACACCACACACACACACACACACACACACACACACACACACACACACACACACACACACACACACACACACACACACTCTCACTCACTCACTACACTTATATATATTTGCTTATAACTGTGTAATATTGTATGTATGTATATATGCTTGCATGTGTATATACATACACAACAAGCATGCTTACCTATGCAAAACTAAATGTTCGCATTTATTATTTAACGTTGTGTGCAGTGCAAAAAGCGAATCCCGGAGCACGTTAAACAGCTTTTTTTTCGGGGCGGACAAGATCTCACCGCGTCACCGTCCAGCGAGCAGAGATCGCTGGCTCGTTCGCGCGCTCGTCGCTCGCATCGGGAAATTGGAATTGTGCTCGAATTTCTCTCGATTTAGAAAAAAAGAGGAAAAAAAATTATAAACAAATATTAGATTATGAAGTTTTCTTGAAAGGGATAGAAATACACGTTATTATTATTACCAAGTCATTTAAGGGAATTTCCTAATTCGTACAAGTCCTGTTGAGTATGTCGAAGGAGCATGTAGTAGTGATTTTGTGGTAATTTGGCTGATTACCTGGCGATTAACTGCTGCCAGAGCTAGTTATAATTTCGCATTAGATAGCGGGTTTAATTTATGGAAAGGGAAAATGAAGAACAAAAATATAATCTAAACTAAATACATACAAAGTAAGATTAAATAAGATGGAAATATTACTGGAAAAGAGAGACGTAGGCAAGACGTTGGCGAGGTTAGCTGTCCGGAATGAATGTTAGCGCCTATTAACCCGGGATTTAATTTGTGAGTTAATGGGACGAGGGGTTATGGGGCAGATAATGGCCGAAATTACAATGGGGGAGGAGAGAGAGACGGTGATTTTGTTGATTTTAATGAGGGTGGGCTAATGAGAGCGCTAATGGGAAAATGCTAATGGTCTGATGTATTATATGTCCGCAATGAGGGCGGAAATGGCATTGCAGTTAATGGAAATGTCGGAACAAAGACATGGTTAAGATGTGCAGCAGAAGAGGCGAAGGAAGTCGATCCTTGATAATGAAATCATTACGGTATGGAATTTCGTTTAGTAGGTGTTCTATTATTTATGTATCTTTTTTATTTTTTACATTATTTTTGATTTGTTTTATTAGTGCGTCATTATTAACGTAGATTATTATGTTATCATTATTATTGATATTATCATTATTATTGAAACCAATAAAAATTATGATATTAATATTATTGTTGTCATTATTATTATTTATTTTTGTTCTTCATCTTTTTTTTCTTCTTATTTTATTTATTATTTGTATTGTTGTTATCGTTATTGTTATTATTATTATTATTAGCAGTAGTATTGATATTAGCATTATCATCTTTTTAATAGCGAAAATAGTAGTAATATTATTGTTGCTGTTGTTATTATTATTATTATATTATTATTATTATTATTATTATTAATATTAATACTATTATTATTATTATTATTATTATTATTATTAGTAGTAGTATTAGTATTACTATTGCTACTATTATTATTATTTCCTCCGCCAAAAGAGGTTTATGTTTTTGGTAGCATAGGTTTAGTTTGTTGTTTAGTAGCATAACTCAAAAAAGTTATGAACAGAGTTTTATGAATTTTTTACCAGTGGTGTTGTGATCTGTATGCGCTCTCTCCTGCAGTACTCTAGTTGTTATTGTTCATTTATTATTGTTATCATTATTATTGATGATATAATTTCCATTATTATCATCACCGTTGGCTGTTGTTATTATTTTTTCATTATTGTTATTATTATTATTATTATTTTTTTTTTAATAAGATTATGATCATAATAATAATGATACTTATATTTTTTATTATTAATGCTTTTATTACTATTGTTGTCGTTTGTATTATTATTGTCATTTAATTTACTATTTTTAATATCATTATTATGATTGTCACCGTTATCATTGTTAATATTGTATTCTCCCAAATTAAATTTTATCCGTTTTTTCTTGTGTTCATACATAATTGACATTTTTACTCAAGTTGCTGATCATAAAATCACCCCGATTTACTGTGAAAAGATCTTGCGTGCGTCTGTAGATTACACGAAAAATCATTTGAGCTACGTTAGATTATGAAATTTCAGAGAGAATTAGACTGAAACAAGGAAATATTTTATTCGAAGTTATTGATGGATAGAATAATTAATAAA